GGATAATCTGGCACGAAAAATTCGTACGGAACCGCTTCATATCACTTAGGTAAACAACATTGCACAAGAATGGCTCTTTTGAGTAATATTTAATTACAGATGACAAAAAAAAAAAAAAAAAAAAAGAATAGTAGTCGCTCAAGTCACTATGACATAATGAGAGCTAGGCTATAGAGGGAATATCAGACTACCGTGGTAACCCATCTCCATTTTTGCTTTTATACTCTATTTTAAAATAATATCTATTCTAATCTACTTCTATTTTCACCTTTAAAACAGAGATATCTAATTTTCCTCTATATATAGAAGATTTCTATTTTTTTTGTCTATAATAGAAATATAATTTTTATTTGAAAATGGTCCTTTAACTTATAACTTTTGTTTTAATTATGTTTAAAATAAATAAAATGAATATTTTTAGTTGATTTTAGAGTTTTTTGGTATAAATATCTATTATAAAATTTTAGACTTTTATACACACAAAAAAATTACGACTAATATTTGCAAAAGAGAAATTATAGTCTTATAAATATATAAATTATATATTTTATTTTTATTCATTCCATAATAATTATTTTTAATAGAACAAAGACTATTTACTTAATACTCTCGTAAATTACTTCTGGATCCACCAATATCGTTAAAATATTATCCAAACGAAGTAGATGGAGGATGAACAGTTACTTAATACTCTGGTAAATCACAAAATGTATTATGTTTTATTAATTTTAAATGATGCAATGTATTTTTATAAAAAATTTTTAATTTAAATAATAGCATAATTGTATGTAATTTTGTAAAAGTTAAAGTAAATAGGTTGATTTCTAAAATAAAATCAATCTTTTAAGAGAAAAAATAGAGAAATATATTAGAGTAAAACCTATATATATATTAGAAATAAATTGGAGATGGTCTTATAGGCTTGACAAAAAATCATTAGCTTGTGTTTATGTTTAACGACTACAACGTACCATACTTTAATACCATTTATAATGAAGGCCCTGTTTCATGCATGATATTATAACATATTCTCTTACTTAAGACATTTGCCAACGCGTCATTTTGCCAGAAATAATACTATTTATTTGACCAGGGCTTAAGCCTCCAAATAAATTTCAACACGTTTGCTTGTTCTTACTGAAGACTAAAGCCTTAAACCAAATTAAATATCAAATGGCCAAAAAAAAAAGAGAAAGAAAGCCTATAAGAATACTTGATTCTCCGTTGATTTTTGGAAAAAATATATTTATTCGATTAATTCCGTTGACTTTGTTGTTCTTGTTTTAATCCAACATGAAATATATTTCATGCGGTACGTACGTTTAATCATTAATTCAAATATTTCTCATTGTCATCTCACCGCAGCAATGGAAAAAGTCAATACACAAAAGTAAGATTTATAGACTTGACAAAACCAATAGCTTGTGTTTATGTTTAACAATGACAACGTACCACAAATGTTCTACTATATTTATAAATTATAATTAAGGCTCTACTTCATGCATGATGATAAGGCTGATAAAAAACCTTTATTATTATGATATTGCATTTGTAAATATGCTTTTAAATTTAGACTATTTAATGCAGATACTCTAT